AAAAAAAAGTAATCAAAAGCTTTTTGATAGAACCATTGTCGAATAATGCACAAATAAATTTGACGAAGAGCTCGCAAAAGTGGACATGAGGCTATATCTCCTCAATGTTTTATCGTTTTAATACCAAACTTGGAGTTTGTTATGACAACCATGTCCTGAGGTTACCTGCACAGTTTCGGCTCAGTGCCACCTAGGGGTTAGGAGATATGAAAAATGCCATAATGGATCTAAGGCTGTATTTCTACAATGATTTGCCACATTGGCACCAAACTATGTGTGTGTCATTGTCACCCCTAGTTAACCACACCACATCAATTTGACTGTTCATGTTAACCCTTTCAGACACTTGTGTGGACTGTGAAGATCACATTAGTAAGACAATTTTGTCAGCTTTTAATTTATGGTTTTCTTGAAATATCCATATGCATTTAAATATTTAGCTATTAAAATAGCTGCTAGAAGTCAAATGTTCACTATAAATTATCTTAAACTTTAAATTTTTTATTTTAAGGGCTGCATTTACAGTAGAAATAGATAAATAAAGCATGAACATATTTTTGTGTCACCGAAATGTAATTCAGATCTGAAAGGGTTAATTTTTTTTCAAGGGATGGCAAAAGTCCTCTTCAAGTTCTTTTCCAAGCATATTAGAAAAAAAATGTCACTGTTCACCTTCCGCTTTTGTTATCTTTTTTTAAGATTCGTCTCCTGAAGGACAATGATTCAACCCTCAAACCCACGTTCATTGTTAAACCGGACAGTGGATCCCAGGGCGACGGCATCTACCTCATCCGTGACCCCGCTGATCTTCGGGTCATCTCAGGTGCTCAGATCAAACAAGCAGTTGTTCAAGACTATATCCAGAAACCTCTGCTCATCGATAAACTGAAGTTTGATATCCGCCTCTATGTTCTGGTCCGCTCATTGGAGCCTCTAGAGATCTACATCGCTAAAGAGGGTCTGTCCAGGTTCTGCACAGAACCCTACCAAGAACCCAGCCAGAAGAACCTCAGTCATGTTTTTATGCACCTTACCAACTACTCCCTTAATGTGCACAGCGGAAACTTTGTCCACTCCGACAGCTGCAGCACGGGCAGTAAACGCACCTTCTCTAGCATTCTCTATCGCCTGGCATCTAAAGGTGTGGACATCAAGAAGGTCTGGTCAGACATTATTGCTTTGGTTATCAAGACAGTAATTGCACTTGTGCCTGAACTGAAGGTGTACTACCAGGCAGATATACCACCTGGAAAACCAGGACCGACATGTTTTCAGGTATATTTACAATGAATTAATTTGTGTGTGTGTTGTGTTTGGCATATAGGTGGCCTGCATCACTATGGTCAGTCAAATGAGAAAAATGAGCACAAACCCATATGCTGCTAACTTTGTTTTTCCTTCACCAGGTGACCCCTAATCCTGTGCATTTCATTGTTTTTCAAAGTCAATAAATAATAAATAACAGAAGATGATGTGTCACAATTTTAGATCCTGGGCTTTGATATCCTGCTGATGAAAAACTTGAAGCCTATATTACTAGAGGTCAATGCCAATCCCAGCATGAGGATTGAACATGAACAGGAGGTGAGGGTGCAGATGCTCTTTTAGCGTGATGTGGTTCAAATAAACCGGTACCTTAAAAAATGTACTGTGGCAGTACTAAAGATAAAGATATCTTTGATATATTTTGATATTATTATTTTAAAAATCTTGTGTGATATAACTTGTTTGTTTGTTTGCTGGTTTTTATTG